ACGTTTCACCCTTAAAATTATATCGATAAGCGAATGTTTCGAAATTTGGATAAGCAGTCTTATTCTTTTTTGATTTATGAGAAGATCGTCGGTTAGGTGTGAATTCTACAACAGAAATTCTGGTTCCCACAAGATTTGGTATTCTTATAAAATATTGGTGAAACGAATCTAAAATCTATCTTATTTTTTGGTAAAACCGTTGCTGTAAAACCTCATTGTGTAGCCTGATTTGTGTGACCCATCGTGTGTTGACGCCGCAATTTCAAAAGAGCAAGATGGAGATAGAAAATAAACGGTGGTAAAATAAGGACCGCACGTCATTGATTAATTATAATGACCGAACGAAATCTCCTATCATTAGGGTTTCTTTTGAAATTTTTATTCGCGCAGGATTCGAGATTCCACAAATTTTATTTCACGCCGATCTTAAATTGACAATCTCAGTTGATTTCATTGGATTTCAAGGAATTTTCGTTGTATAAAGTTTAAGGTTTTTATAATACTTTTAAAAAATCTGATTATGGTAAGTGTTCTTTTTACTTCGAACTTTTTTGAGTGGGTATCGATTCAAATGATTTTGTTTTTATACTGCGACATGATTATATAATTTAAACTGTGAAAGTAACATATACTATACTAATATTATAAAGTTGTTCGTTTGCAACGAATAGATTCCATAACTACTGGAAATAGGGATGGAAGTTTGTATAGAAAATTCAAATGTTACCAATTGTTTATTATATTTAACGATTATAATAATATCCGTGTCATAATATGTATTCCAAATAAACAGTTCACTAGGGTCCACGCGGGCTAAATCGCTGGCGGAAAGCTAGTATTTACATATACATGACGTGGGCCAATCGTTGAATTGGGCCGATCGAGATCCGTTCGGGCATATCACCATACGCCTCCATTTCTTGATTTGGCTAGGAAAATCACGATTAGCTCGGTTAAAAGTTAGGCAGATCGACGAGAGCAACGTATTCTCACCCATCCCCATCGTGAGCGAGATCGGTCTATATTTACCAAAACTGTCTAGTTCAGGCACCTTTTTTCAGTGTGTAGCAAACCTTATACTTGTTTCATTACCGTCGCACCTATGTATGCTTATTAAGGAACAAGTTATACTTGGTATCTTGAGATCAGCACGCGTCTTTTGCACTGAGCGACATTGACAAATGTAATGCGGGGTCATCTGATACGTACCTTATGCGTACATGCTCAGAATCCTAATAAACTTGTTTACTTAAAGTGTTAGAGAAAGGAGATTTGGACTAAAATGTTTTCATGTATTTTATTTATAAATCTAAGTTCATTGACTGGGTATTTAATTTGTGAAACCAGTCGTTGGAGGTATATAATAACCTCCTTGAGGTAGATCACTGTACAACGACAGTATGATGCTATTTCTTAAATGTAAATAGTATTTTCACTAAACGAGGCCTAATGTGAGAACTTTGCACCATTGGCCGCCTAAAGCAAATTGACAATTCCAGAACAGAAAACGTCAAATTGATACCTGTTCACTTATTTTGGTAGAATAATAGTTTAAAGCTTAAAACGAGAAATTTTTGAAGGGTTGTCGTTGTTCAATTAAGTATCATCAGTTCGATGTTGGACTGGTTCAGCGTTTGCTATGCGATGATGAGGTTAAGTCACCTTCCATCCTAGGATTAGTGATCAAAAATTTACTATGCTCCTATGCTTAACAAGGCATGTTAATCCATTGGTCCTGGCTGCATCTACAATCGTTAACACCAACCCATCTGCGATGGGCTCAAGTCGTATATAATGGCTCATTCTTCCTATTTGATTCGTTCTATAGAGAACAGCTGTGCTTCAGCAGTGGGATATAAATAGATGATAACTTGCATCATATCACCCAGAGCCTCAAAGATTGCGACACTTTGAAATACGCGTGTGAGCTACTCGGCTACGGAACTCGAAAACTAAGATTTTAGACTTTAACATTCGAATCAGTTGACGTATCTGTTTTTCTTTTGCTTATACATCACCAGGAAATCATCAACGTTATATTTTCAATAAAGACGCAAGATACACGCAAGAACAGCCACAGCAAATAAACTCTGCATGCCATCTCAATCAGATTGCAAACTAATGAGGGAGATGAGTAGATTATTAGCGACCACTCTGTTAAGGTCACCGCTCCTACTTAAGCAACATTCACAATCGCGGCTCGTATGAATGAATACGTCAAACCGGCTCGTAATCTAGCTAGTTTATCAATCTAACACCAAGACGTTTGTGACAGTACTCCTTACTTCCAGTTATCGGGGCCACATCTGTAGAACGTCTTGCTTTGCACCTCATTCGGTTTACCACTGACCAGGGCTACCAACTATTCAAATGATGACACACAATTTATTTGTTTGCCTAAACAAATGGCATACTAAAACTTTGAGGACGTCGAAGGAAATACCCTACAGCTGAGACAGAGTCCTGGTTGATCTCACTTTCTTTCTCTTTTATATGCCATTATGTACCATATTGTTTCTTTTGTATCTTTATTGTGCTTTATGTGTTCTTAATAATGTACTATCTTGTTTGTGCCTTTGTGAGATCAATAAATGTTTCTTCTTCTTCTTAAACAATTATAGAAATTAAAAGAGCTACGTTAACCGCTAAAACTGTCTTCAATAGAGGATAGTTGTATATTTCACTATTAGTCAACATCATATACATTGCTTAGCATCCAAGATGAGTATCTAAAGTCGTCGCAGTATGGAGTTTCTGAGACAGCAAAACTATCTCAACGTCCACATCCGAGACCATATAGAACAGTTAATTTTCTGAAGTGAAACCACATGCGTATTATATTGAAAATTTTTGAGAGAAACGAAATTCTGTAGGTAAGTTTTCCTTAAATCCATTGAAATCTACGGTTGGCTTAAACAAAAAGCGAAAGTATATTACAACATTTTGACTATGGTCCGTAAAAAGTCCTGATCATTATCTATGTTTTTTTTTGTGGTACAAAATATCAACCCTGGTATGTTAACTCTCTCTTAGTCATAACAAAAACTAGTTTAGCATACAAATCCACTAAGTGGGCGAATGACGCGATCTGATAGTGCTGCAGCAATTACGTACGTGACACCTCGCGAGGAGCGTCCGATAGCATCTGTGTGAACCCCACCTTAGGGTACGACTCCAATCGTATAATAAATTGCGGATGTTTCATGCAGCTTGTCATATTTTCGATAAAAGAACTCAATTTTTTTTATTTGCATTATTGCATATGTTGTTTTCAGTTTTTTTATTCACTACAGTTTCAATTATGTTTAAGACTGTCTCTTGTCGTACGTCTACTGGTTCGCTAGAAGTCCTACAAACATTTATTAACTACTCGAGTAGTATTCGAGTCTCAGGCCTCATATTCGAGGTGGGGAAGTAACTTGAAGAATGGGGCCTGAGGCTCGACACAGATATGGTTTATTCTTTTTTAGCTTGGGAGCGTGAGTTCTGTCCTATATCGATAGATGCCTAATTAGGCCATTACAAAAATTAAGAAAGTTATTAAAAATGCGCTTTTCAATTCAAATAAACGTTTATTCTTATACTTACGTTCGTTTTTAAATAATATTTTTAGTTTGAAGGGTTTTGTTCCAATTTAATTAATATTTTAATAACAAAAACATACTATTAAAAGAATATACTAATTTTATAAAAAGGAAAGATTTGCTTGTTTATTTTTTATTGAATAGGATATGAAATTAAGTAGGACCGAATATAAAATTCTTACACCTACTGGAAGCTACATAATACGCAGGTGATATAGGAAATAATTTACATGGGTGAAGTCGCAGGAAAACTCCTAGTTCCTTGATAAAAATAAACTTCTTTTATATTGCTTCTATGTGTGCTGCTGCCATTATCAATAATTCAGCTCACTAATCGTTAATAACTGATGATCTTAGATTTTTGAAACTTGGCAGGGCTAATTCTTTGAAATAGTGTTCAGTTTGCTACTCCACTGGTAGTAAACTGCAAATATTTAAATCTTTTACAATAAAGTCAAAATATCTATATTTAAATAAACTTATTTAGGGTAAGTACTTTTGAAACGTCCTATAGTACAACAAGACTTCAGACAGATGACAAGTGACTTTCAAATTTTGATTTTTAACCCCTAACGCAATTAGAGGAGTGTTATGAGTTTTACCTGTCTGTCTGTGTGTGGCACCGTAACTCCTTAATTAATGAATTGATTTGAATTAGAGGGGTGTGATGACGAGTTTGAACTATCTGTCCGTCTGTGGCACCGTAGCTCCTGAATGAATGAACCAATTTGGGTGCTGTTTTTTATACAACAGACTTGTGTTTGCGGTGGTTCTTAGTTATGTTTTAAGGAAACCGAATTAGCAATTCAAAAGCTACAAAGACTTTGAAAAGTTGAGGTAGCATTAAAAAGAACAGCCTTTAAGCGAATGGGCCGATTTGATTCGTTTTTTTTATCCAAAGCCTTTTTCGTTAAGATCATTTCGAGATATTTTTTTCTTTCATTGTGACTTCTATTAGCTAATTCCTCCCTAGTCCTAATTGTTCCCTAGCTGGTTCCAAGGCGTTGCCAACTCTAAGGTCCCGGGATCGCGTTGTTGATCAACTACTAATTTGGGTTCATAGCAAATTATGTGATGTTGTCTAATATTTATTTATTAATTAATTTCCCACTGCTGGAGCTCTGGCTGGATCACAGAAGGGACGCGGTGCTGAGGTTTCCATATAGATAGATTTAATTATTAAAGTCAGTCGATAACCAATCACGCGGGCTATTGCGGATTGGTGTGTGTTTACGACTGCATATGCAGCCAGGACCAACAGTTTAATGTGCCTTCCAGAGAACATATGCTGTCTAAATGTGTTTTCTAGAGCACGGAGGAGCTTTGGATGGTAAATTTTTGGTCACCAAGTCTATAACCAACACTCGTCGCAAAGCAAATGCGCAAACCACTATGTCAGCGAGTTCCTCCTCTTTTGTTTCAATTCATAGGAAATTGTTAGTGTAGTGTGTAATTAAGATAGCGCCAAATGCTGCATTGCATTTTTGTATGTTGTTTTAACAAATGCCACGAGTAGCTCGGTGGCATAGTGGATAAGCGCCGCGGCCCGCGATCGTAGTCGTTAAGCAACTTTCGCAAGGGTCGGTCACGGGATGGGTGACCAAAAAATTATTATATCGAGCTACTCCGTGCTTCGGAAGGCATGTTAGGCCCATCCTCCTTACCATCCATAAGGAAGGCCTGAGCCCCTGCAGTGGGGACGTAAAAGGGCTGGTGGTGGTGAAATGCTACACTGTTATTGAGAAATAAGGTAAGGTTCCTTTCAAGGATTTCTTAGGATTCTGGTAGAAAAGTGGAGTAAATAAAACTGAACCATAATTATTTTGTCAATAGATTTATCTATATATTTTAATGAATAATTCTCAATTACAGCTGTCGTAATGTTACAGTCTCACCATTTCAAAAAGCTTTTTTTAGAAAAAAATGGCAAATCAAAAACTTATATATTGCATTTCAAATCACCAGATGATAATAATGAATAGTCTTTGTATGTTGTTTTAACAAAAAAAAAAAATTAAACATAAATTAGTATTTACGTATATAGGTATCTGCTTTCGATTTTAACTTTAAATGAGCTTAAGTTTAATGAATTCCATGGAAAATTATATTCATTTATAATTATATATTTTGTATCTTTAACTACAATTTATCAACTATATATTACAAACTTTAACTTACAAATTAAACTAGCTTTTTTTCATCAATCGTTTTATTTAGTCTGCGTGTAATTGTTGCTTATAACAGTTTTATAGATGTCACAGTAAAATACAAGTAATATTGCCCACCGATGTACCTGCGCAGAAGTTTAAATTTCGAACAGCGGCAAATGTCTACCAAACAAAATTCAAGTAGCAAACCGCCAAAACTTACTACGTTGGTCATTGCACCTTATAGTTATTAAAACAAGACTGCTTGTTTTTGACGATGTTTTCGGTTATCATTTAAAAGCGCGTAACTGAAACCATGTAAATGATTTGTCAAAATGAAGCCCTAAATTATATGTCAACCTGGCAGACGAACTGTGAGCAGACCAATTTACGATCAATGTATGATTAAACAGATCAATCTTAATTAGTTTGCCGAAAGTTATCTGTCAGTCGGACAGATCATTCGGTTCTTCATTTTGACAGATCAATCATGATTCAGTTACGCAGTAGAGCCGTTAGCGCAAACGATGATTCGCGAGGTGAAATATTACTTCAGTTTTACTGTAACTATCGTTATAACGCTTTTTTGAATAGCATTTTATCGAACGGCAACAATTATTCGCACACGAAGGTCACAGCACAATTGACAAAACATATTTTCAAAATATGTCTATTTAGTAAACACGTAAATATACCTTACATTTGTATTTACAAAATTAAGCGATACTATCCATGTACCTTAATTATTATAGAAAGGGGGAACAAATATCTGTTTCATTCGAAATTTGAACATAAATGACGTCACTATACGATTTTATTTTTTCTTACAACAAATTTCACAATTGAAAACAAGAAAATTGTTTAATAATTTCACACATCGATTGTTATCGTTTTCATAGAACATAAAGCTTTTTGTCTTTAAATATAGAATATGTATTTCTTTCGGTATATTAAAAGTCTACATCGTGAATCGTCAATCTTGAGTGAGGTTACATAAGATACGAAACTATCAAGAGAAGTACCAAAATATTAGACGAAGTTTAGAAAAAAATTATAGTCATTGGTTTATTTTTATAGAAAAAAGTGTATTATGAGTATGTTGGTTTTAAAGTTAGCTGGTTAATATGGGTGTGAACATTTTACAATGACGCCATTCATTACTTGTTGAAAAAATTGTTTTCTAATATGTACTGCTATTGACGTGGAAATCTATAAAAGAGAGCTATTGTGTTCTACGTGACTTAACGGGATTGAATCATGGTCGCCATCAGTTGGCCTTTTGTAGTAGCAAGACTCACGTGATCGAACCTCTCGTAAGTAACTAAAAGACTAATGACTTTCGCCTGACTCCTTTAAAATTTACATTGCAATCAACAAAATTTAACTTACGGCTGATCGAATTTGCGAATGGAGCTCTTGCTATTACAAAGAGAACGTGATCCGTAGTGCTGTCAAGATAAATCCTGTTTTGAGATTTAAAATCCGAAAACAACAGTTCTTAAAGAACAATTTTATGTAAACTTATATAAGTTTAATATTTCTAGTTCATCGAGGCAGCACTACGCTAGGCGATCCATATCGGGAGTGCTGTGAGCGTCTACTTGGAAGTTCGGCCATCGAACAGGTGTCACCGATCACCTACTGCAAGCGTAACTATGTACAAGACAGTATAAGAACGTTGACCCGATTGGAACTCGAAAGGAAAACAAAATAGGAACGATATAAAAACGAGCCCGCCGCGGTGCCACGGGCTGATATAAATACACGCTATTTACAAGGCTACGCCCCGAGTCAGTCCTGCGTTTCGACGTCCAGACCGTTGACCATTCGCTCGATGCTTTTGAGGTCGGACGCTGGCGGAGTGCTGGAGGTAGTACTGGTCGGGGCGTCGGGAGGGGGGTCTGCGGACGCGGCTCGAGCAGGAGGAGAGCCGGCACGTGGTCTCGCTGGAGATGAGCTCAGGCTCCTCGCTCGCGGCGCGACCTGTTCGAATGCTGAGCCTAATCCTGGTAGCGCGTAAGGTGCGAACCTGTGCGCTTTCGTGAGCGACGGGGCTACAGCTGGCGCTGGCGGCGCAGGAGGAGGCGGTAGCGAGTACTGCTGCAGTAACGGATGGAGATTGAAGAGTAGACCTGGTGGCATTTGATGGGGTGGAAAGAATGGAGGTGGGTACAGTGATGGCGGATAGAGGTATGGAAGTAAGGGGGGCTGTACCGGGGGACCTAGTGAAACGTCCGGCGCTGGAGACGGGCGGGAAGGTCCGGCTGGAGGTGAGGAGGCTCGTGCGCCACCTGAACATGAGGAATCCGATCCAGCCTCGATGGCTTCCTCGGGGCCTGAGTCTGCACCGCCGCCACCCCCACTCGAACTGAACCATGCTGTAACAAAAGTAATATCTTTAATCCTTGGAAATCTTTATCTAGTTGGTGGTATAACAGTAATTATTTAAATAAGATTCTGATTATCAAGGTGATATGACATATTTATTTAAACCTTCGATTTGGTTTTGCATAGAGTTGAAGACAAAATAGGGATTAATTCAACTAGGAGTAATCTGTTCTACGACTTATTTTTCTATTTATTATATTTGTATGGTACTCACAACTAGTGGAGTGTTGCGTGGTGGGCGGTGGCGGTGGGGGACTGCTGGGTCCTCCCACATCCAGCGGCCTCTCGTCGTCTTCGTCCCGCGCGTCCGACCGCGCCGTCAGCAGCGCCTGCCTGCGGTACACGGACAGACTACTCGTGTTATCACCACATCGTCTTTACAATTGCAATAATAATAATTATTGACCTATTAACGTTTCCACAGGTCTTCCGCATGGAAAGAAGTTCAGGGATCATGGATATAAGTCTATCTGGTCTCCTAATGTGGGTTAGTGAGTGCTATCGACTGTATTTTGGCGGGACCAACGGCTTAAAGTGCCTAACGACACACAGATAAGCTCAAGATTATAATTAGTTACCCACTTCACGATTAAATACGTCATAGAGCTCCTTAATAAAATATCGAACACCAAAATAATGATACAAACTTGCCAAATTCAAATCGAAATGACTGATTTGATGCAAAAGTAGTTTTAATCCACAATTAGTGAGTGAGTTAGTTGGGTAGATTGTGATGTTCTTTTAAATACGAATCCAAAATTACACAAGAAGAAGATGAAAGATATACTAAGTAGTATCAGATGAAAGAGTAAGGATAGTAAAGGGTTTGGTGATAAATATCAACGATTTTAAATATTAATTGATATTTATAATATTTATTGGCAGTTTAAGTATTGAATATCGAGTCTCAGTTAGACAATTAACCAACCTGATGATACTGGCAACATTGGCCCAAAGTATAAATCTTATTAGATATTACGGGCTTTTAGAAAAGTAAGATAGGGGATCTAACTTTTTAATTATTTTATAATAAATAAACAAATATTAAATATCTCAAACTCAATCGTTTTACACTTTTGATTAAAAAGATCAAATGTTAAATAAACCCTAGCAGGTCAAAAATCGCAGGTTTTCATATGCGTGATATATCGGATAAATATGGAATATTTAATAAATTTATTATAAATATCTTCTTTTTCCGTACACTGGTAAACTAAGGCTTTTCGAAATTGTTAAAGTATAAGAATAAAAAGGCAATAGATGGAACGAAAAATCCAAAAAATATACGTTAAAGTATTTATACATGTGCAGAAAACAATGAAAACATCAGTCAACTGGAAAAAATAAGCTTAAAGTTTGATATGGAACACTTTTTTTTTTTAATCTAGTTGAGTAGTTTTTGCATGAAAGAGTAATATAAGTATGCACAAAAGTATCAGTAGGATGTTTCGACACAGATTCCTCTTGACAAAATGTATTTAAAACAAAAACTTTACTGTGTTTTCTGTGCCTTTAATAGTACACAATTTTACTGTGCTATTAAAGGCACAGAAAAGTTGAAATGTCAGTAGAAATCTTACAAGACTGAGTTATTCTAGAAGTAGGAACTTTTTTTTCAGAGATCGCGTCAGATATAAATATAACTTTAATATCCGTAACAATATCCAAAGCGGTGTTAATCGCGCTTCCCTTTATAACAGTGTCATATTATCGTCACAGCTTATTACTGTATTAAAATGACAAAGTTTGCATTTTACCCTCGGCGTCAAACGGCTGGCATTTGGGGGTTCGACCCCGACCACGGAAAGGTTAATCGAGTGCTAATGATAGTGCCGAAATACTAGACGTGGTCGTTTGATGCTCCGACCTCTTTACAGTAATTCATTTAAATTGTCGCACTAAGGTCAGGTTGTAAGTTTACGGAACAGGTATTTTATTCCGAGGAAAGTCGAATTTTTTAAATGCTTATTACAAAGATTATTAACATTCGAGTCCTTAATATTTCGAAGTATAACTTTGTATGAGTAACTTTCTTACTTATGGACAAATTTAGAACGATATTATTTGTTACTCTACTGTCTGTTTTCACTAAACTGTTTTCACCCAAACCTGTCGCCTAAATATTTAAAAATCACCTAAGGTAAAAATTCATATCACCATTCAGTACGAACCACCTAACAAAATTATTAAATGTCTAAATTTATGATATTCGTTACGCAGCAGCGGCGCTAGGCATTTGCGTATACGACAGGTTATGTGTTGTCCAAATGTATGTTCCGTTTGTGATGTTTTGGTGTTTCTCGCTCCTATTTCCAGATCACTTAATTTAATGTTAAAGCCCTTGCAATCCGACGAATGTAATGTTGACTTTCAAAGGTTCTGCAGTTAGTTTTTGTGAACGGTCTTCAATTGGAGTACTTGTATGACAGGATTATATATCTGTGTGATGAGTTTCGTAAGCCGATACTCAATATCAAGCCCAATACATTGTATGTAACAGTTAGACACAATAAAAATTAACTTATTTAAGAGTAACGTTATAAGCTTTTTTGAAATTGTTATCTAAAAAAGGGAATATTCCAGAACAAAATGTGATACTAAACGTTTAAACGATTAACGTATTCTTTCGTTTCTAACACAAAAGATAAATTTAATACCGTTTCACGACCCTGAATGCGGTAGAAGGGTCCGATTATTTGCCTTCTGTCGCAACAAAAACCGACTGTTTGTCATGCACATTGTTTTACTGTACCCTAATGCTGTGAGGTCTTCATCCCGGTACTGATTACGGTTAGCACTGAATTTATTTCACTAACTCGCCTCATAGTCGACTGATAGAATTTAATTTGAACCACCCTTTGAATGTAGGGCTGGCATAATTTAATGAATATCCTATCATGTTATTGGAGTGAGTGAATTTTGCTGTTATAAAAGCTGTCAGCGTTTAAAAATTAAATGAAAAATTATCTTATTTCTTTTTCAATAATATATCACTGTGACACTAAAATTTTAAGCCTTGATATTTTTATCTCAGTTATAATTCATTTTATGCCTAGAAAAAGAAAGAATAGCAATCTATATAAATAAAAACTTGAAAAGAGTGCACTAATTTGTTTTAATATTAATATTAGGTATTGGAAGATCGTGGAAGGTGCGATTCTTCGCGAGAAAAAAGGCAGAAAATTTGTTGTAAAATAATGAAAATACTTTTGATTTCCAAACAAAATATAAATTTGTGTAGTAGTAATACACTGATATAATAATATACTACTAACAAATGCAGTTTGACATTAGTCGGTATTTAGTAATTTTGAAAACGACGTTTCGTAAATATGCGGTTAGCTTTTGATTTTTATAAAAAGTTTTATAAACAATAAATCGTACAACTAAAGTTTTGACAGCCCTAATTTAAACTGTCCACATTAGGGGTGTTCGCATTACAATGTAAACTCGACAGGGGTGACTCGCCTTGTAATTCTACCAAATTTTTATCCCCCAACTGCTTCGGTTAGTTTAAAACCCCGACTTTCATCTGCGGGGGAGAGTGTAGAAAACGCATTTCGATTGACGTCTTTTTATTTAGTGATTTTTACGATCTTGTTCAGTTAGAAGATTTTTATTGGATTTACATATATGAGCCGCAATTACTTTGGAGCGTTAATATGTAAATGTCTTGTTTATTTAATGAAAAACTTATACATATATATACTTAAATTTGTTTCTGTGCGGACTATTAACACAGAAAGTTAGAGAATCATATATTAGGGTGTGAATTACTGATTAGCCCACTTAGTCTAGTTTAATCGCTTCAAAATGGAGCTGATCATCTCAAACAGTTATTTGCTGATTTTCATAATTGTCAGCTGGATTCCCTGATAATCATTATGGTTGGTCACCCGAGCCGCTTTTCCGAGCGTGGCGTTTGTCAAAACGCTCACGTTTTCCGTGCATCCTCCAACGGCCATTTTGTAAAGATGAGCCGCTCGGTCCGGTGCTTCCGTCTCCGCTCTAATTCGGAATGGCGGCATGAGCCCTTCCGGTGCAAAATGTTCTGTAAGCGAATTAAAGATTCCTTTCCGTCGGATGTGCGTTATTCTACCGTATTAACCAACGATAAAAGTTTTCATATATTGTATGAATTATATTTTCACAGAAGATATTTTGCTGTGTTCTCAGCATACGAATTATAGTAATTAGGGTGATTATTTTAGTTATATTGTAAAAAAAAAAAACTTTAGTGTCTTATAGTTTGGGAACGCATTTTATATTCCGACCGACTCATAAAAGTGCTTTCTTTGATAAGTACTCCACGGGTCTCGAACTTAAGATATCAATAAAACCCGTCAAGTGTGGATAACACCGCAGTCTGTCGTATACCTACCCACTAATTGAGTTCTCTATCGAATTTCAAATAAGTTAGCGGAACGGCAGTCATCCCTAGCAGTAAATGCTGGCAAATTATGCGGCGAAAAAAAACTAAGGCTGATTTTATCGCGGAAATCCAATTTTCTCCCTCGCACGCTAAAGACGCTAGAAAAAAGGCGGCAAGCCGAATGACTCCACCATTTCGAGCCGTTACCCGCCATGTTCAAGCTTCGAACACGAATAAGGAGGCGCCGGATTGGTTTAATTTGAATTTCGAACCGACCGTGTTGGCAGCTCCGCGTTCGGATACCCGCGCCCTAATTAATTTGAAGAGATTCACAGATAGGACCGCTAATTTCGTTAGCTTTTAACTTTACTTTAACAGTCGGCAGTTTTTACAGTCGTTAATCTTTCGCTTGCCTTATAGCCGTGCCGTGGCCACCTACGGCGCCTATGTTTAATGTTGCCATTATTAATAATTAACATAGTTGTGACATTTTAATGTTGGGATACGTGTTTTTTTCTTATTCTATATTTTTATGGCGCACCTTTTATAATGACTGTGCGTGAGTGTTTCGTTTTGTAAACTCAGTTTGAGACTGCGTCAAAGAAAGATGAGGATTAGACTACTAAATAGTTATACTATGAAACGTACATAGTTTTGTATTATCTTGTATTTAATTTAAATATATAACATTCATTTGGAAAATTCGCTTGTCTTAATGCTTGTTTTACGTTAATTAACTATATGTAAGTAATCTTATGTTATCTGAAATTCTAATTCTGATATTGAGTATGTATAACTACTACCAAGTATTACAATAAATTTCATGTAATACGCTTTAATACCTAGGTATGCATCGGCACAGAATTTCGAACCGACATAAAGCACATAAAGCATCAGGCAGAATTTTGAAACTGCTCCCGTGAGTCGATCACGATTAACTGTCATGTGATGTCACAACTCATTAAATTAAATAAACTAATATGCTTCTTTACCCATAAACAATGTCTGACACATGCAAATGTATAGAATGTTTGAATAAATTAGTTTTTTCACCAGACGAATGACATAGATTATTGCAAAATACATTCTGGTTTTATTTAGTCTAATAGACACACACTGATCACGAGTAGTTACTTGATTGTAGTGTTGTAGCTCTACATTTGTCGCCATTTGCATTTATGTGATATGCGTACCACCGGACGACGCATAGAACTGTAGATCAGACGAGGTTGCTACTTAACCTTATTTAAAGCCGAAATACTAAGTTTAAATGCCTAGTATCCCAATAAGTACGGACCACTGATCGGTAAAACTATAAATTCAACCGTATATTTTAAAGGTAGAACTCAGCGTTAAGGTTGATTCACACGGTTGAAAACTGTGTTCGAAATTGTGCTACCAACTATAGTTCGACTTTTAAATGCAGTAAAATGACATTTCTTAATTTCCTAATATCATTTTGGGAAATATTGCCACGTTTGTTATTAGTGGGGTGGTAAAAAAAAATTGCATAGAAATAAATGATGATTGTTGCTACTCTGCATTGATATTTCTTATTGGTATGTTTTTTATTTATTGACTTTTCCGTTTCATAATTAGGTCCTTACATATGAAATTGGCGTTTTGTCGCCACTTTAATCACAAATTTCTCCTTCATGGTTGGGAATTCCAAATTCAAATTTATACAGCCATTTACACATGTATTTGTGTTTCGTTAGGCGACATTCATTTGTTTTTTTTTCTTCTGTTTATTCTATTTACGTCACCCAAAAAAAAAATGGAAATCTTGAAATATCGTGTTATTTACGAGTACAAGTTCCACCGTGCTACCAGTGCTGCGCAAAAGAAAACACAGTGCATTTTTGGTTCCAACGTTTTCGTTCTGGAAATTTCGACCTGTAAAACAAGCGCCGTGGACGGCCGGAGTTACAAGTTAATAATGAAGAATTGGAGGCTATTGTGGAAGCGGATAAAACTATTTTAATCCGCTTGAAGCAAATTGGAAAGATTAAAAAGCTTGAAAGGTGGGTACCTCTCGAATTGAGTGTAGCAAACCGGCAAACGCGCTTCGACTGCTGCGTTACATTACTTAATCGGCACAATAGTAAAGAATTTTTAAATCGAATCATTACCTGTGATGAAAAGTGGATTCTCTACGATAATCAGAATCGCAATGGTTGGATCTTGTTGAAATGCCAGCCAAATCCTACCCCAAGCGAAAATTGACTCCAAAAAAGTTACTTGTAAGCGTTTGGTGGACTAGTGCCGGTGTCGTTCATTACAGATTTCACAAATCTGGCCAGACGAATATTGCAGATGTCTATTGTCAGCAATTGCAAACCACGCTGGAAAAACTAGCTGTTAAACAACCGAGGCTGGTCAATCGCTCTACGCCACTACTTTAAGACAACGCTAGACCACACACTGCACAACAGACGGCTACCAAATTAGAAGAGCTTCAATTGGAATGTCTAAGACATCCACTACTTCCCGGACCTTGCTCCAACAGATTACCATTTTTTTTTTGAAATATGGATAACTTCTTGCAAAGGAAAAAATTCAACTCCGATGGGGCAGTGCAAATCGCCTTCAAATATTTTATTGATTCCCGTCCAAATGGTCTTTTTAGTAAGGGGATCAATGAACTACCTATGAGACGGCAAAAGAGCATAGATAACAATGGTTTTCATCATCATCAGCAGTTTTACGTCCCCACTGCAGGAGCTCAGGTCTTCCTTATGTATGTTTAAGGAGGATGGGCCATGACCCTCCACGCTGGCCCAATGTGGATTGGAGGGCATTAACGACTGGAAATGCGGCCGGGACCAACGGCTTAACGTGCCTTCCGAAGCACGGACTAGCTCGATATAATAATTTTTTGGTCACCCATCCTGTGACCGACCCTTGCGAAAGTTGCTTAACGACAACGATCGTGGGCCGCGACGCTTATCCACTACGCCACCGAGCATCTCATTATCTATGTAAGGACCTAATATTAAAGGAACATCATATATGTCTATATATACTCAAATGAAATCAGACAAAAAATATCTAATAAAGGACGTTGGCTAGATTCCTTGCCTTTTAATTAAACAATAAAAAAAAATCATGCAATAAAAAAGCGCGATTTAAATTCACTTTACATTTTTTATGAAAATGTTTCTTGTTGTTTCACTATGCGAAATTAGGTTGTGTTAGTTTATTTTTAGTTTTGAAAATTAGTATGTACCTCGTGTGTTCATAAGTTTTGAGGTGAAATAAAAGTTGCGTAACTTTTTTAATAATTTATATATATTTCTAAAATTTTCAATAACCATTAAATAGATAATAATCAACAATTAAATATATATTTTATTCAAAATGACCGCCCTTGTTTTTGATACAGGCCCTTAGACGATTTGGCCAGTCATCAATGGCGGCACGCTTCTTTTCTAGCGGAATTCGCTTTGCTTCTCGAATAAGGATTCGTTTCAGTGAGTTCAAGTTTGGGATGGACTTTCGGCAGGCCCTGAGCTAATTCAGTCCATAAAGAATAAGCGGGTTGCTTCTAAGTGCGACATGGATTTTGGCGAAATCGCTCTCGGATGAATTTGATATTCGCAGGCGTCCTCACAGAGTGTGACTCCTTTGGTGAACTTGCCTCTTGTTGTTGGCCACATGATACTGAAGATTTTTTTTTAAGTATTCCTCTATAAATATCACATTAAATACAAAATGTATTAAATATATATAATAAGCAATAAAATTATATTTGTTAAGTTATTCGACGTTCGTAAATTATGAACTGAATGCAAATTGGATGTAAAGTTTAATTGGTACGTCACTATTAATATTTCGTAAAAAACTGGTAAGACATGAAATTGCATTTTGCTGCTTTTAATTAAGAGTCGAACTATAGATGGTTGACAACAAGCAAGGTCACCTTTGTCGGAATGCTGGCTTTCAACCGTGTGGATGACACTTTACTGAATATTCGATGTCCGATAACTTATAGCTGTTGCAGCCAATTGGTTAAAACAGCCGTTCAATTGGGTGGCCATTAAATTGGACTCAAATGCATGTCTAGTTTTCTAGTTGAATTGTTATGACATTTGGACAGTTCAACAAGACGGCTGATTTAAAAGCCGCTAAACGTTAAAGAAGTTTTGCTTTTAGTTAAAAAAAATACCTAAAAATGTTGAACTACACTTCGTAATCGTCTTAAATTTCTAACCTATCACGCAACCTACAAGACCAAAATAACTTGTTCAGCCGTATTGTAGAACGTCGCGTTTAGGTTCTCGGCTGATCAAAAGTCAGCCTGTTAATTGAATGGCACCACTCAATGAACAGACTAGCCACCCTGGGTGGGCTGATTATACAGCTTAGCTGCGACATAGCGATAAGTCGTCAATTAACGTTACGCTCTGCAACATAGATTTATTATGCGACTACATTTTAGTTGAACAATTCATCTATATCTTGCTCCTCAATTCTAATGACAAAATTACGTGCACAGTACCGGGATTTTCTGAAGGAGTCAGTGTTTTGAAGGAAAATAATGTGAAAGTGTAATTTGATCGATAAGAATACCCATGCAAAATTAGATGTTGAAAAGGACATTTGTATGCTTTTGATCGATAGTCGATAATAATAAATGTACATCACTTTGTTTTTTTTAATAAAATGGTAGTCCGCTTGAAGATATTCATTATTTTGGACTCACCAGATACTTTATATCTCTCTCTTTCAATATGACATTATATTTTTGTGAAAACGGGAAAAACTATGATTGATTGTTTGATTGATTTAATTTACCGAGTTTTTTTAGTCATAATAGGTCATAACGTTTAAATATCCTTATTAATTGTAACATTTTAAAGAGTTATCAATATTATTATTTATTGACTGATGTTTATATTGTTTTTCTTGTATTTTACTAGTTATTTTATAATAGGTACTTACTTCTTTTCTCGTTTTCCCGCTCCAGTGTCTCTGAATCCTTTCGCAAAAGGATTGTTGTCTATCTTCAGTTGAGTAATCTGTTGGAGAAACCATACAGAAATTTTAATAATATTATCTATGTAGGATCATATGTACACAGCCATCACGTTACCATATAAAAAAAGAAAATATTACGTATAATGCTCAGATTTCAAGACAATAATAGACATAGGACAGAGCTATTTTAGTATCTTTTTAATTATTAGTATTACCTTCTCATTTTGGTATGCGGTGACCGCGATGAACTCCGTCTCCTTGAAAACGTACGTCCTGAAGGTGGAGTACGGAAGTTTGAGGATGTCGTTCGCCCTCACCAGGTGGAACCGTGGCTGGTACTTGTGCATCGAGTTCAGGATCGTCTGCGTAACACACTTTAGACAGCTTAGGAACTTGACCGAAGAGTTCTTAACAAAAAAGGTTTTACAAGCGGTAAATAAATAATTTTATATATTTATAATAATGTATTGATCTGTTTTTTTTTGTGAATGTCGTAACTGCCATTAGAACTGGTGATTTTGTTGTTCGTTCTTTTTATCAGCCAAAAGACGTCCTGAACGAGTAGGGAAAAAAATTTTGGACGATTCAAAAGTACTTTTAAAGAAATCTAATTGAATAAAAAAATATTTTGACTTTAACTTTGATCACATTAGAAGAAATAAGTAAGAAAATAATGAACTTTATACAAAAAATGTTATAAAAGAAATCAGCAATATTCCCTGAAAATTATCGAATACCTAGTAAAAACTCAAAATAAATACCTAAAATATGTATATAATATGCATCGACAGGGCAACATCAGCTTTCGGACAAAGGGAAAAGTGTCATACCGTTAAGTAAATTGGGCTTCACTAATAAGTTAGTAAAAAATACTGTTTATTATCATAATGGACAAACAGACAATAATATTGTTGTTATATGAATACTACCAAAGAGCTCTAAGCTTTGGTAACAGGAGGTCAATTTTAATCTATTTTTCAAGACAAACTTTAAATGAAAATATGGCTTTATAAAGTTTTCTATGCAAAGGTATCAATTTATTCAGCCTACACATTTGATCGTTCAAATAAAATTTGGACAATCATCTAAATTATTAATAAAATACTTTACGTATAAAATAGGAAGTTGTGCCGAGGTGCGCCCCTCCTTTCTTATGTGTTATTAAGGATCATTATCGGTAAAGCTGTTGAATGTTACATGAGGTGAATGCGAACCGTTTCAAAGGTGGTGGTTAAGGGAAATCAGACCCAAATTGTAACTATAATTATATAATACGCGATACTTTTTTATGAAATTGTTATTCGTAAGTAAGTTCAATTGCTCTCAATTATGCTACTGCAATTTCACAATGATTCTTGGGAAAAAATATTTTCCACAGATCATTTTCTAGCTTTGAGTATTAATTGTTTAATATTTGTTACAAAATACATAAATTATTGTGGTGAAAAGTAATAAACTAGGGAATAGTCAAAAGGCATTGACAAGCTTATTAAGAAACACACAACATCTACAAGTTGGGTCATTATACGAAGTCACTTTGACATCTATCAATCTGAAATTGATAGTGAGGTGTTTTGCTTAAAATTTTCGATCAATATGACTAATCGATATGGTTTTCAAACAAATGCGAATCGAATGCAGTTGTTATGGAAAAATAATACCGAAATTGCTTTTACTACGACTAGCGACATTAACTATTAAATTATTTGTCATTTCGATATTGTAACAAGAACAACTGAAGAAAATCACAAATAACAAAAGGATACTCATAGTCGTTTTGCGCAAATACGTCGGTTACTTACTTTACATTATCAAACATACAACTTTTTTATGTATTTCGTTCTATAGAGAAATGTTATATATAAATTCAGGTTTTGGATGTGATAAAATTATTACAAATATGGCGTTATTTTTTAATTATTTATTACATGTAAGTTGGACTTTATTTTTTGACCAAAATTTTAAGTCTTGGTTTTGTTTTCAAAATCCACTATAAATCTTTGTTCAGCTGCATTTATTTATTTCTAAATATTTTTATATTTGATTACTTTTGTATTCTATATTTTTTTGGTGTACCATACATATTTTGTTAGTAATTTATTTATAATTATGACGTCATTTAAGTAAAATTTTAATGATTACATTCCTAATGTGGTTATTTGTTCATGCCTTCATAAGTAATTATAAAGTCAACTTCCATAACCAAGCAATGTTTTCGATTTTACCAGACCACGTTCAGACAGACGACAACAGACTTAACTTTGTAGCGGGGTAGTATTTAAAGAGAGTAATTTATATTTTACATTTAAAAGGTTTATTAGTCATAGTCAGATATATATATATATATATTATTTATCCATTATGACAATAAATATATAATACTTATATTTGTCAAATGTGGTCTATTATAACTTTTTTTATATAACTTATAATAACAAAATCTAATACGACGAGAGAGTTAACTAGTGAGATTCGAAGCAATTTAAAGGCAAAGCGATTAGCCAGCACCGTGATATATTTGAACTACATCGACATAGCGAGGCTAACTCTCGCACTGAACTCTAGCCATAGCTATAAAAACTTTTCATTTATTTTACTAATGTATATTAAATGAAATGTTTATAATGTTCTTAATTTTATTATTTATAGTTTTTTGTAGTATATCAAGTTATTTAATATAAAAAAGGTAAAAACAAAGCTATTTCGAAAATTTAAATAAAGTAAAATATACGATTACATATTATAGATAACAATAAACTTATCGTTGTAAAAGAATATTAACATAGTCATAGATAAAATCAATAAAACGTTATTATAGCTATGGCTAGAGTTATAGCAATATGGTTAGGCGATCGCCCCGGCATGGTGAATATGGAATGATGACTTTTGCTGAGAGAACTTTATGAAAATTTTCTTTGGCAAAATATAATAAAGAGAATATATATGTCAGAATTTTGTGTCTTTTACGACTTTGTATTTAGATATAGGGAAGGTTTTATCGCGTTAAAGTATTCATGGTAAGAACGTTTAAGTCACAATCGTCTTTTCATTGCAATCTAGAATCTCCATTGTCCTAGGTCTCAGCAAAAATATGTGTTTGTATGCAAAACCTACATTAATATTCTAAAGAAGACATGCGGTGCGTGTGTATGCCCTACATAAATAGTGTACCTACTGAATGATAAATAATAAATAAATTGAAACCGACTTGAGACTTAAAAAGTGAAAAATAATAAATGGCCTCATTGGCGATTGATATCGGTTCGTTTTCAAGAAGCTTCTATTAAAGGCGGGGTTTCGCGTAGGCTATTAATATTAACTGACTTCAATACAACTTTTTTTCAGTATATGGTTTGTTTTTAAGTAAAATAGATACAATCGGACATAGAACCTGCCTCCTCTTTGAAGTTATTTAAAAAAGGACACGTAAGGTAAAAATATATAAAAAATATTCCAGACAAAAATATGAAACATATAATTTCGAGGATAATACAACTAATTCAGCTACTAAACTTACATTTCAAATGTTTTTTTTAGTAATAAAATATATTTTAACCATATTGAATTTAACTTTCATGCCATTATTGACACAACAGAAAAGATAAATTTAAACACTTGTTATGAAATGAATATTGATAGATTTTTTTTATTACACAACATCACGTCCAACATTGATTAGGTTCCGAGATGATTTGGAAAAACGGCGTATCTCCGAAGTTACCGCAACATGTATGTATTAAAAAATGGCGGGATATGTTTTACACATAAAAAGAATTCAGTTAATTTAAGTACAGAATTGAACGCAAATATGCTAAGCTCAAGTCGTATTTAAGATAAGAGCTTCATTTTTATGTCTATGTACAATATATAGGTAACTTTACCGTAGCGGAATGTAAAATATTGAACGTATTAAAACAAATTATGTTCTATTGATTAATTGGAGTCCCAGCGGCCGTTTTGATTGCTTTTAATTCGGTTGAATCATTTTAGTTACAACTTCCGCTGCTCCCTACATGGAGGTTCACATCGGATCCATTTACTTTTTAAATTGACATATTGACATTCGACAGTTGAATTTGAATTAGGAAACGAGACAAATTTATTTATCTGTGGTCGGTTGGTGTAACAGTGCCAGTTTTAGAATCTTCGATTAAAAATGAGGTTATCATTTGACCAAACTCAAAGGTTAACGTTATTGAAAATCACGCATTATTTTTTTTATCAATTACATTTTCTTGTTTCTTTGATTATGCGACGTTCCATATTTTATAAATGTATTTTTTAATAGAATTATAGAACATATTAACTTTTGAAAAAAAGTAGAGTTACTAATTTATTTTCATACGTTAGATTTTGAAATATGACGTCATAAAAGAGAGAACCTCCCATTCTTTCTGCACTATTGCCTAAACTAAAATAATTTGGGTTTGTTTTAACATTACTCCGAAAAAAAGTACTCCAATAAATATGATTATACTCCGATACTATAATATAATAATATAACGTTAACTACTGTTAAATTAGTTATATACCTAATTACAGAATAATAAATGGAATATGGAAACACAGTTTACTCGTTATATGGAGGTTTTATTATTATTCGTTCACCTTCGTTATATTCTAAAGATTATTAAAAAGGTTCTTTGGAGTTTAATTTTGATTTCTTTTATTGAATATTATTAAATAACAGTATTTAAAGTTATTTTTATTGTAAAACGTTAATTTGACAGATTAAAATTTTGTTTCAAAAATAGAAAATATAATTTACACATATTGGGAATCAGCAAAGCGAGCGAACAAGAACTTTTGAATTATTTTATCAATGATGAATCCGTTAATATTCTTATTTCAATATTTGGAATAGCTTTGCACGGCTAAATTTGATTTGTATATTTTAATTCAATCAATTTTAATATAAATATAAATGTATTTCATTGATTAAATCAATAAAACGTTTAAAAAGTTTTTATCTATACTAATATTATAAAGAGGAAAATTTCAATTGTACGTTTGTTTGCACCGAATACTCCGAAGGCTTCGAAACTGCGGGACTGATTTTAAAATGTCTTTCACCTAAGCCACCTTTTGATTGATATGTGCAAAGTCAAGGGGAAAAAGGCAGTAGTCTTGTTTAGTTATAGTTAAGCGGTCGCTCTGCTGCGCGAAAACTAAAGAAATCAACCACATCAACAAGAAAGTTGCATAATACTATTAATTTGTAAACTGTGTACATTTAGTTGCTAATTGCGATCTCTCCATGGTAAGGAAATTCAGAAGCCTAATTGATAATTTTTACATCTATAACAAATCCTTTCAATTTGAAGTTTGAAAATATATTCACGAACTTCACGCTACAACTGTT